CATCATCTGGAGGCAGCAAAGGTTGATGAAGATGGTCTTCGTGATTGATTTTTCATCTGGCAGAGTACTAGAAAAGTCCTCCAGATGGGATCGCAGAAGAATAGAGGCTTGCGGCGGTGAAAGTAGTTTTTTGGACCTCTCCTGGGGGTTTCTGGATATATGAGAATTTGCAGCATTGGAATTAGGTCAAACAGAGCCAAAGGGGGGCCACAAGGCACCAGGGCGCGCCCCCTGCCTGGCCGCTCCCTCGTGCAGCGTCTGGTCTCCTCCCGAAGCTTCCAGAGTCTATTTTTGTCTAGAAATAATCATCAAAAAGTTTCATCATGTTTGGACACTGAGTTAATAGGTTAGTTTTCAAAAATGATATAAAATGACATGTAAAGCATACAAAATTAATAATATAATAGTATGAAACAATCAAAAATTATAGATACATCGGAGACATATCACGATGGCGCGCCATAGACCAAGCGAAGGAAGATGTCCTACTGGAGCTTGGCAGAGGCGAGGTCCTGGGAGGAGACACCATGGAGCCTACGCCAGCTGCTCATGGGCTCAGCGAGGACGAGCATCAGGACGGGATAGAGACTGCATCCTCATTTGCTCTCGTCAATAGCTCTTATTTCCTTCTCTTTATCACACGCCGACACGACTGAATCGTCATTAACCAGCAGTGGAATTGTGCGAAGAGCCATCCCGAGGCTGAGCGTGGAGCCGGCTGTCGAGACCTACTATCGAGGTAGTGGCGCCGACTGCTTTCTCTTTAGCTCACCCAAGTATAACTACTTATCCTCCCCTTCCCTCCTTAATTTTAGTTTTGTAGCTGCACGAATTGACATGAATACAGTGTAATTTGACTTATATTTTCTTATAAGTATGTAATATCGTGTACATAAATTGTCTCGGTTAAACGAACAATTTTTTATTTAGCAATACGTCTGCGCCTTAACTTAGCGTGCAGGTGACTTAGTTGGGACACCAGCTCGCTAGCTTGCACTATAAGGGCTGACTAGAGCTCCCGGTTGACGCTCCTTCGCTATGTGAATTTGGGGTGGCCCAAGTAGCGCAGGCTCCTCTTCCGTTATTTTGTTTTTCTCATTTTTATTTTTATTTTTATTTGTTTTATTTTCTTTTTTCAATTTTCATTTTCTTTTCTTCATGTTCTTTTTTGTTTTCTTTTGCTTTCCTTTTCTTTTTTCATTTTGCGAATGTCTTTTCAAATTTTCAAACATTGTCTGAAATGGTGAACCTTTTTTTTTGAAATTATAAACATATTTCAGTTTGCAAACATTTTTGAATTGTGTACACTTTTTTTAAAATTCTGAACATTTTTTGTAATAGCGAACAATTTTGAAATTCAAGAACATTTGTTTTACAAATTTGCAACATTTTTCAAAATTATGAACATTCTTTTACAAATTCACAAACTTTTTTTGCAACTGTGATATTTTTCCAATTTGCGAACAATATTTGAAATCATGAACATTTTTACAAGTCATATTTTTTTGAAATCGTGAACTTTTTTTAAATTCATGAACAATTTTTGAAATTCGTGAACATTTTTTGAATTAGCTTCATGAACTTTTTCCAAATTTGGGGACATTTTTTGAATTCATGAACATTTCTTTAAATCACTAATATTTTTTGAATTCACCAACATTTTTCAAATTCAAAGCATTTTTTCAAACTCATGAACATTTTTGAATTTGAGGGAATTTTTAAATTTTGGGAAGATTTTAAAATTTGGTTTTGTTGAAATCTTGAACATTTTTAATGAAGTAGATAAATAAAAAAATAAAAGGAGAAATTTTGGGGTGGGGGTGGGTGGGAATTTCACGCCCCACACAAGGGCCAACCCAAAAAGCATGCGTGAGAGGGGGTGTTTGCTCGTTCTCCGCCGTGCAGGTCAACGAATAGGAGGTTCCGCCGAACAGTCCAGACTGATTCATCCAGACGGTCCGGGTGAATGCCTGGACGCTGAAACAGGCTAGCCCATGTATGCCAGCTACCACCCTTTGTCCCTTACCTATACATACATTTCCTTGGGTCAGATCTAGGGTTAGTAATAACGTAAACTAAGAACTTGATAGAGCTTTGGTCATCTAACTTCCGAAATTGGGATCAAGACCTCCTAGGAGAGAAGACTCTGTGAGGAGTACAAGCCCGCCCATGGGAGAAGACTCCATTCGACTGCAATACCCCCACGGGTAAAGGATTCCATGAAGCACAAGACCTCCATCTCTAAAATTTGGGGGTGAACTATGTTTCCTCGTTTTACCTTTCTCCCTCGGAGTTGTTGGATCAATTGTACCTCGTTTAGTAGAATTGGCCGTGAGATGTATGGTCGGTTTGAGGATCTTATGTTTCTTGAGTGAATCCTACTTGTATCTATGTGTTTGACTAGTGTTTTTCCCTCTTGTTCTTTGTGTCTCTTATGTTCTTACAGTCCTCTACCTTCAATTTGTGAAATCGGACACACGTCCCGGAATGATCTGTAACTCGTTTGGTGCTAGTTATGACGTTGCCATATTTTTTCATAATAGCACTAGTGCTAGTAAATTTCCCCACATCTTAGTTGATATATTTTGTTGAGTGAAAGGCTTTTTGCTTAGTGCAGTAATCTGGGAGTTACTATTCACTTATGAAGAATTGATTATTGTGACAAGAGGAATAATTTGAGTGGGCTGAGGATGAGTGAGGTAGCAGACTTGAATGTTCGAGTATCCACTTTGGTATATCTTTGCCTTTTCTTGTTCCTCATGGCAATTCATCCATGCTTCACACACAAACATGAAGAATCCATCCCCACTTTCCTTCCAGCACCAGCAGAGGGCAGAGGGAGATCACATAGCTAGCTTCCTACTTTGTGAAAAGCAAGAAGAGAAAGGGGGAAAGGTTGCTTTCCTTCTCCCACTTTCCTAGATTATATGATGGTCATGATGATTACCAGCTTCCTTAATCTCCTTTGCTCCCTCTTGTCTGGTCTTAAGTCTTAACTGCTAGCTAATTCACCAGCCATGGATATACACATGCATCTTCCTTGGCAGCTTTAGCATCTTGTGATGTAGCCTAGCCAGCCATGGACGTCTCCATCAGGGCAGGCAGGCAGGCAGAGGGAGGTGCTTTTCTTCCCCTCAGGCCAAAGGGGAAAATGGAGTGGAAATACAACATGATGGTTGATGCAGCAGCAAGCAAGAAACCATACATTTCGATCATCATAATTCATAATCACCACTAAGAAGATGTTTACAAAGTCTCAAAGTTTATTAGTGGTTATATCAACTACCACTAACTATAACCAGAGAAAATATATACTGGTAGTGCCACTCACAAACCTTATCTCAGCTCACACGCACGCCTCTCTCTCTCTCTCTCCTCTTGTGCACCACCATGTCTCGCATCACGGATGACCCCGAGCACTCCCCGAGGGACTGCGCCACCAAGCACCGCCACCACCACTCGGCTGGGCGCCGCCGGCTGCTGATCGGGGCGTTGTCGGCGGCGGCCTCGCTGCTGGCCTTGGCCATCATACTCTGGCTCACCCTCCGCCCTTCCAGCCCGCGCTTCACGCTGCTGGCCGCCACCGCCACCGCCCCCAACGCCACCGCCGGCGGCATCGTGCGGCTCGACGCGGCCTTCGTCGCGCACAACCCCAACGCGCGCGCCGCCGCGCTCTACGACCGGCTCCAGGCGCGCGCGTCCTACGCCGGTGTCCAGCTCGCCGCCACCGCGCCGCTCCCGCCGTTCCAGCAGGCCCAGGGCGACGCCGTGCTCACCGCCTCGCTCTCGGCGTCATCTGCGGCGGCGTCGGCAGCCGAAACCGCAGAGGCCGGGCGCACGACGCTGCTGCTGAGGCTGCGCGTCGAGGGGCAGCTCCGGTGGAAGGTGTCCGCCTGGGTGTCCGGCAGCCGCGCCCTCGCCGCCGAGTGCGTCGCTGTCGTCGTGCCGTCGCAGCTCACGGCCGTCGTAGTGCAGGGTTCCCAGTGCGCCACCACCCTCCAGTGAATGAATAATAAATCTACATATGTGCACATATGTATGCATCAGTCGATAAATTACTTTTGCAATTAGCGCCTGTGTTTAGCTTAATTGCACTATTGTTCTTGTACTTATGAGAGACATTCTACGTCCTCTGCTTAATTATTATTATTTTTTAAAGGAGAAGATCCACGGCACGTGCATGTTATGGTTGCCGCGTTTGCTAAATCTCAGGTTCCTGAGAAAGTTATAGCGTTAGTCATTTGTGCTTCCCCCTGAGGCCAAAGGCGAGGAGGACGTGAGGAGCGACATGAACGATCGTCGGCCACGGCGAGGCCAAGCCATGAACGAGCAGGAGCCGGTGGGTGTGAGACAAAAACTTGACAGGTATATGCCGGGACGAGGACGGTGATGCAGGGGTTACCGGAGTAAACATGCATACTAAAATGTGTCTAGATAATACAATTCAATAAAACGCTAAAATGTCTTATATTAGTAAACGGAGGGGCTATGTTACAGCGTGGCAATGACTTGGAGATATCGGATTTG